CTGCCGCAATCATTGCGCACTTTGATCCCTCTTGGCTGAGCATGAACGGCGGCGTGAACAAGATTTGGGTCAACAATCTGATCCGTGACTGGTCCAATCCATCGACCAAAGACCCTTTCTTCCCCTTTTCACGATCCTTCGACTGGTTCCACGGCCACAACTGGGCCCGAGGTGTCCTCGAGGCACTTGACGGCAAGGATCAAGAGTCCTCAGCTGAAGATGCCTTCTCGACCTACGCCATCAAGATGTGGGGTAAAGCCACTGGTGACGCCAACCTTGAGGCCCGTGGCAATCTCCAACTTGCAGTGACGGCGCGCAGCCTGCAGTCGTACTTCCTCCTGGCAAGCGACAACAGGGTCCAACCAGCCAACTTCATCGGGAACCGCGCAACGGGCATCCTCTGGGATAGGAAGGTCAATCACACGACGTACTTTGGCGACGAAATCGCCTACATCCAAGGCATCCACATGCTTCCGATCGTGCCGAGCAGCGCCTATGTCCGCAAACCTTCATTTGTCCGTCAGGAATGGGATCAGTATTTCGCTGGCAACAAGTCTGGATCTCTCAGCAGCGGCGGCTTTGCGGGCCATATCTATGCAAATCTGGCGATTGCGGACAGGGCTGGCGCCATTGAGAGCCATGCCTTCTTCAGGAACCAGACTACTGATAGTCCTTACCTCAGCGGATCGAGTCTGACTTGGGATCTGGCGTATACGGCGGCGTTGGGGGGAAGTTTGGCATCTAATATGTCTGTCAATTCAACACGTATTTGGACTTGAGAATTACACCCAACTATGTGGTACGCACCACGGACAAATGAAAAGATCTATAGCATTAGCTCAATAGTTTAGCAAGCTGGTGGGCATCTCCAATAGCAATCACCCCAGCAAATCTCCTCGATATAGTATGAGGCTTCAGTAGGACTACTCGCAGGATTATAACCATCTAGTTGTTATAGAACTCTAGATATCTAAACTTTCATATCACGACTTCAAGAGATTAGGGTCGCTATGTGCTATTGTATCAAGCAACCACCCTCTGTCTTCTGTGGCCTGCCCTCCATTAACCGTAGTAGTGTCGAAGCCTGCAACTCGCCAAATATTGCTACAAGAACATCTTGCATGCTCCCCAAATAGCTCAAATCTGCTGTGCTGAAACAATCGGACTCTGCTCCATAGTCTATAAGCAGTTTGCTGACTTCAAACCACTCTTTGATAGACACAGGCGTTGCTTCTGGACGATTCACCGACTCCCAGCAGGATATCAGGAACAGAGCCCAGACAGTTCGATCTTGGTGAGAGTATACGATCTGGTTCGGGTTTGCTTTATGCTCTAGCAATAGCTTGACCATAGATCTATCGATGTTTGGCTCATCACGTTGTGAGTGATATGGAACTTGTATCGGTGTGACTCTGCGAGGTCGCAGAGCATAGTCAAGCAGCGGTCGACCACTTTTTGACGGCAGACCTCCATGGGCCCCCAATATCCCTCTCACGTACTTCACCAGCCGTGCCTGTATGGCCAAAGAGATCCAGTTATAATGGTGCCCCTCGTTGTATTCATCCAGCCCTCGAGGTGCCGGTGGGTCTCTGGCATGTGCCCAATGATTCCTCACGGTCTTGGACATCTTCATCAGTGTGCTGTTAACTGCATCCACCTGATCCAATATCTCCGCCACTGGAGAGAGAGCTTGGTCCTTATAGAGTTCGTGCTTTTCTGCCTCTCGCGCGTAGTATAGAAGCTCGTCTACCAGGCCGATCATGCTGTTGTATTGTTGTTTGGTGTTGAGGTTATGCTGGTGCTGTTTCTTCAAGAAGAACAATAAGATGCGACAGAGCGATATCGGTGGGACGAACTGAGTGCTCAATACGGCCTCTAGCTGGCGAATATACTGGTCCCTGAGAAAGTCTCGAACAGTTCGATGCAGGAAGTCGACGGGCTGTTGCAGGAATACCGGGTGTTCGCAGCTATCAACCACAAGGAGATCACTGCACCGTCTGTGTATCTTTTCTTTCCACTCTTTCCCGACCTGAGCAACTGCCGCAGGTTCGAGTGGACCAATTTCTGCTTTCAGTGCATAGTCTTCGTCCTCGATCTCCTCATCTAGAAGATAGAATGCGTATAGTGGAAGAGGCTGGACCTCGAAAACGGTGACAAGAAATGTCCTTGCCATTTCTTTTCGGAATACAGGGTCGACTCGATGAATTATGTGCTCGAAATACTTCTCCAGGTCCTTCGGGAAATCTTGGACGATTTCGCGGAGCTTCCGTATGGTCTCGTTCCCTCGCACTGCGAGTTTCAGGTCTCTCGTGACCAAATGGACCCAGAGCCAGACCCCCTTGGCATCTTCCGTTATTTGGTCGAGCAAAAGCTTTCCAGATGGGTCTACTTGGAGCTGCTGTAGGTCCACATGCTCTCCAAGGGCGTCTGCCACATAAAGTCGCATATCGTCCATCGTGAGGTCCTGCATCTTTATAGAATACTTGTTTGACCAAAGATTCTGCTCGAAGAAGGACCGAGGTCGGCTGGATACACAAATCTTGATATGGGGAGATTCGGAGATCGACTTGATCAGTTGGCCTATGCCCTCTTCACTGCCATCATATTCATCCAGACCATCTATGAAGAAGCAGAACTTGACTGAAGAGGCTGTTTCCAGTTTCACCTTGTTGAAAACTAACAGCAGTTCGTCAAAGTCCCACAGTTCGTAGTCAGGGCGCCCGCGATCGACGAGCGAGACGAGGCTGGGAATCTGCCTCATAACTTGGTAAAGGAGGGATTGAAGCAGTCCGATTTGAGACTTTTGCATGTCAAATCCTTGATTCCAAAAGAAATAGCTTGCCCTGCAAAACTTTGTAGCTCCGGCCCACTTTTTCAAGCTTTGAATGGTTGTCTCGTGCTCAAATGCAAACTTCATTAATGTCGACTTTCCACTGCCAGGCTGATTAGAAAGGTATTTAGTGCGAGCTCTTCTCTGAGTCATGATTGGCACTGGAACCTACCAAGCCACTGATGGAATAGATCTCGTTCGTCTCGGATGAAAGCCAGTGCAGAAATGATGTTTTGCTCGGATCATGAAGCCAAGCAAGTGTGCGGGCGGCAGCATCGTCGATCTTGTCCCATCGTTTTCTGATTTCGTGGAAGTAGAGACTTTTCAAGATGCGAATTTGTTTCTCACAAGTTTGTCTTTCATTCTCGAGACTCTCAATCTTGCTCCGAAGGCTTGTGACCTGGCCCTTGAACTCAATAAAGTCGTGGCTGATCCGTTGCGAGGCAGCTAGTATCTCTTCTTGTATAGCGTCAAATCTCACCGACTGCTCAATCTTGTATGACAAATGTTCCTCTCGCACCGCCTCCAAGGCTTTAATTGTCTCCGAATGGTTTTTACTGCAAAAGAACTTGATTAGCATCGACACTTAACCTGAACATAATGGCGCCAAGCAATCTGATGTCCAAGTGTAGGTGGTGATAGAGAAGGATAGGGTAAGAAATGGAAGCAAAGAGTATAATGGAATTAACATCGTAGACATGGGTACCACCTACTTTCGAATCAGTAGGGCAAGTGCTTCTTTCACAGCTGTTTCATGGTTCATCAGACGCTCCTGTAATCGTTTGAGGTCAGGCTGCGATGCGAGCAGCCCGAAAACCACGCGCGGATGCTCCAAGAATCTCAGTTTCGCATCAGATCGTATAGAGACCTTTTCCGCGATGGCTTTTATGTCATCTGCTGTCTTCCGACAAGCTCCCCCGGTCTTCAAGATACGAAGCTCGGCCGAAGTTAGTCTCTTCTGGGATTTGAGAACCGTGAGCCTATCCTCCCAGTCCGCAATGTCATCGGCTTGCTGAAGAAGCTTCCGGATTTCTTGAGGTGTGCCATCGGTAGCTGCGTGGACCTTCTGCACCGCTGAAACAAATACTGCGGAGAACTCGATGAAGGTTAAGATGCTGGCGGTAAGTCCGATTATTTCCGCCATCACAAAAGGGTCGGAGGTTGAGGACTTATGATACGATCCTGCTTTAAAATAGGCGGGGGTAGATAGGACATTAGCCGCCCGACCTTGCATATCACGTGCTTCATTTTAACCCAATCAACGGAAATCTGTCCTCGGTCAGCATCTCTTGGGTCCTTTATCTTTTATCTATATTCCATTTCGCCATATACCAGTCGATCTTGGCTCTATGTTAATTTGTGAAGCCGCCACTTATTAGTGCGTGTTTACACCACTAACTAATCCAGCTTCTTGTTCTAGCGCCGTGGAATTTGGCCATCTATCCCAACTAGGTGGCCAGTAGGTGCCTGAGGCCGCCAGGTACCTATCTCACTGTTTGCTGCGCTGCTCCGTACTAATAAAAGAAAGCGAAGAACCGCTATGGAGCCTCTTTGGGAAGAAGCTTTTGATCAAAGGAATATCAATGTAGAGGGGAATCCAGAAGCACCTCTGCTTGGCCAGGGCATTAACAGGCGAACCCCATTCCGACAAAGTGACAACCCTTTGATCCGGTTACCAACAAGAGCGATAATAGCGACATGGTTCGCTCTCACCATCCTGTCAATACTCCTTTCTGGCCTCTCTATGGTTTATTTTTCTATTGAAGAGGGGTTTAATTTGGCATTCTTCTTTGGTGCAAGTGCCGTGTTTCTAATTCTGACTGGTATCGGAACAGTTGTCAGGAGCCAGAGGTGATGAACAGGAATTCTTTGCCGTGTTTAAAATCTACAGACGCAAAGCTTGACATACTGTCATGTTTCCAATAATCATGTCAGGCCGCTTATACCATTTCGTTTCGTTCAAGACGTCATCGCTTCTGACTGATATCATGTGACTGATTGGCAAGAGACCAAGACGATCGACCCCTCATCTGTTATGAGTACGCATCTACTCATTTCACTGTCAGCGGTAAGGACGCTGTGAACCTAGGGGCCATACTATAAGCTCTTTGCAAACATTCTGGATCCAATTTGTCCCTTTCCTTAGTTCTACTTATTTGTCTCGTTCAGAATGCCTCAACTTCCCGCCCGACAAGGTGTCGCTACCCCGCTAAAGCAAGGCCAGAGTCTCCAAGTCATCAATACACATGGAAAGCAAGTGGTCGACTTTTGGGCTTTCACATGGGAAGATGGTCATGAATACCTCTCGATGAGTCACACTCGAGCAATGCTTGCAAGCATCTCTTTGCGCAAGGGAAACAAGCTATACAGTTCTCGCCGCAAACCCATCTTGACTCTTGTTGATGACACGACCCCAGGCATCCACGACTTACTATTCCCCGCTTGCGATGCTGAGCGCTATCGCCAATTGGGCGCTGTGGGGTATCATGACAGTTGCCACGATAATCTGCACAGAGCTCTGGTAGAATTGCCTAGGATCAAGCCCAGAGCCGGTTGGGTCCCCGATCCGCTGAACATGTTTATGAATGTGGCTGTGGATCATCATGGTGGAATTGATATCCGTGCTCCTACCAGCGACAAAGGCCAATACGTTATTCTGAGAGCTGAGGTCGATCTTGTCGTCGTCATGAGCGCGTGTCCTCAAGATATGGTCAATGTCAATGGTGAAGGGCCTGCTGATTGCGAGTATCGTGTTCTTGAGTAATCTAAATAAAGTGTGATGTTATGAAACGGTTTGACCATGAGTAATTATTGAATGCAATGGCTCTCTTCATCACTACATAAAGGCGTGGTAGATTTGTCCAGACTGGCAATATTTATGATCTCTTAGATACCAAATTCTCCCTCAATGAAAGTTCCGTGTGGCCCCAAAGCATAAACTTGTGGCATATCGGCACGAGCAACCTCCTTGAACGTCTTCGCGTCGATGGCAACAAGAACGCTGTGAGTAGCATCGCGATTGATGACGATGGTGAGCACGATGCCGTCGTCCTCGTCTCTAGCTCCTGGACGTTGGATAAAGATAGGCTCGCAAGGTGCGCTCTCCCCATTCTCCGGCCACCATTCCTTAAAGGTTCCAGTCTCCCAATCGCACTTGGTAACGTGACTGAGAAAACTGCAATGCACCGCTTTCAAGCCGTTTCCTAAGCGGCCAATGGGGACACTAGTACCGGGGGATGGTCCACCATGGCCTGAGATGCCGTAGACATAACGATAACCATGGACCATGGAAGCGCTCTTGGCAATCCGAGGCAGCTCTAGGAATGTGCCTCCAATTGCAGCCTTGGTCGTAGCCTGTGTGAATGTGGTAGCATCAGCTTTTCCCACGCTTTCAAGCTCGTAGCGTACCAAGACACCATCTTGGAATGGCGCACTAGGATCCAGGATGTTGCTGAGGTGATAGTCGTTGTAAGGGACGCGATCTGTGTATGCACAGAGATCAATGTGGATATTGACCTCGTTCGTATGGGAATCCACGTAATCGTAGCCATTTACGGAATGGAAGAACATGATGTTATCTGGAAGATTGTATGAAGCGATGCTAAATTATAGAGTCAGAATTTCTAGTATGTATACTTGTGTGGATGGATAGGGTGCGAGCTGGACCTACTGCTTTCCAGTGATCTTGTCGAGTACGTAAAATTCGGTAGGGCTGTCAGGCTCATAGATCATAGATTGAAGGAATCCCTTAGTGGTATCCGACAAGTCCATGGAGATAGGCTACATAGAGAGTGGTGAGTAGGGTTGTTCAATCTGCAGTATAGTAGATTTGCTCACGTTGCGAATGAATATTACATAGTTGCTAGACATGGCCATTGAATGGACATAGCATGGCCTGCAAGCAGGGAGAGGAGTCTTCCACAACAGTTTGGAAGGGTTTGACTTGATGTCGAGTGCAAATATCGATAAGACGCCAGTTTTCGGGTTGATGAGGTAGTTGAATTCCTCACCTCTGTGCCGGTCTTTGAGAATATGCGAGCAGATACCGAATCCTTCGAGCTCGGGATCAATAGTGGCATAGGTGAGCATTCGCTTGGGCTCAAGCGTTTTTCCATCAACGACTTGGAGCATGTTGAAGTCGGTGGAGACGAGAATCTATGGAAGATTAGTACCCTGACAACCAAGACTAAAAATGGTACCTGTTACCTCTTCTTTCTCCGGCCTCTCAGATGGGGTGCCTTTGTCGTATGGATTTCCGTTTGTAGGAATATGGAAACTTCTGCGAGGTAGAATGTTGACGTTGAACTCATCAGGGCCAACGTGGCCCGTGGGGATCCAGACGGATTGTTGAGCACCAAGAAGTGCCGAGCAAGGATCTTGAGCGTCCTTGAGCGGTGTGTTTGCATTTAACCCCGCCATCAAAGTCTGCAAAAAGCCATTCTTCTTGGCCTTCCTGACTACCCCCTCGGCGGTGTATCGACTGTTGTAGTAAACGCGGCCGTCTTCCATACGAAACTTGTGGAGCATAGCTAAGCCGTCGAACCAGTGTTGCGATACTGCATTGGGCTTTGAGCCGTCCTCAGACAGAGGAATGACATAACGACCAACTCCCATGCTAAATGCAGATGCGTTAGCGAGGACTCATGTAGGCTGGTCGCGATCTCTTGTGCCCCAAGATTGGATAACCAATTGAGGAATGAAATGACGAACCGAATGAAAGAGCCATTGACCCAGTCAGGCCAAACTCCTGAGGTTTTACATTCTACCTCATTGGGAGTTTCGCATACTCCCTGAAGGTAGGGCGGCAGGTACTTCAGCTTATCATCAGTCACAAAGTAGGGTTGTGCCTTTACTCGAGATGTAGTCGACATGGTGAAGAATGCGGTCGGTATGGTATAGAAATGTTTGGTGGTTCTCAAATTTTTATCTTGCGTTGAATCTTGTTCAGTTCTGTCGATATTAGCCTAAACCACTTAGACAAGATTTTATATTCCATGCTTGATGTATGAGGACTGCTGCTTGAACATGAGCTGGGGCATCCTCGGAATGCCATGCCTGAGAACGCGACAAGTCGTTGGGCTCTTGACGATCCAAGACGGGGCACTCTCGGTAAGCTACCCGTGTAATATGAAGTTTCAGACTCATTGGCAGCAGTTGGCATACAAACTGATTAGTTTAGCCATCTGTATGTAGAATCGGAAGTGCAACAACTTCCGAAACCTCCGATGACATAAGACTGCTTGACTTCCCCGCAGCGTTTATGAGGACGCTATTCCTCATCAACACAGTCCACTTAGCGAGAAATCTAAGTATAGGTCTCATGTTAGCCAATTGAACTTACCGCCTTTCAATACAAATCGTATAATAGGACGATTTTGTGGTACCCAAAACAGTCACTCTGACTACCACTTGAATTCATCTATATCTAACCTTCTCTTATTTTACAACTTCCTTCCATTCCAGACTACGGAACCAAAAACTGTAGCTACGTCAAAGCAAGCAGTACAAGAGAAAGAATGAATCCCCCTGATTTTAACCACAATACCAGTCAAGAAAAAAGAAGTGACATTTTTTTACTTTTACATGCAGCCGAGATGGGAGATTTGGCTACCATCACCAGACTGTTGACATCATCGGGCAATCAATTTGTTGACCTGAACTGTCGAGATGATACCGGTGCTACTGCGCTTTCACGTGCTGCAAGGATGGGTCGCACAGAGGTTGTGAGATATCTACTCTCGTGCCCTGATGTATACGTGAACTGTGCTGATCACTTTGGCTGGACACCGCTATCTTGGAGTGCACGATACGGAGACCACGACGTCGTGCAGCAGCTGCTAGCCTACCTGGACATAGCGGCTGATCGCGCTGATGAGAACGGAATGACTCCTCTGATGTTTGCATCACGGAAAGGACATGCTGAGACTGTGCGTCGTCTGCTCGACTCAAACCGGGTTGACATAAATCTGCGCGATAATGACGGTCGTACTGCATTGTCCCACGCGGCCGAAAATGACTGGGCGTGCGATGCAGTGACGCTGCTACTCGGATATCCCACTGTTGAAGTTGATGCGAAGGATCATTCTGGATGTTCGCCTCTATCTTGGGCAGCTCAAGGAGGTTCAGCGACCAATGTCCGTATATTATTGCAGCGCCCTGACGTGGATCCAGACTCTATGGATTGCGAACAGCGGTCACCTTTGTACTGGGGCGTGGAAAGGGCAGCAGCGGAAGTCGTGGGCTTGTTACTCAGCAGCGATAGAGTCAATCCTGAAGCAGCCACTGTTTTTGGGGATACGCCAGTCATCTTAGCTGAGATTCTAGGGCAAGAGCACATTTTGGATCTATTTCGGGAGAAAGTTAGCCAACGGTAACAAATCCCCGCTTATAGCTCCCGATAAAGTTACGCATCCTGTGATAATTTTCGAGTGACTTAAATTAGATTTTTAGAATCACTAGCAAGCTCTCTTACTACATTTGTGGAAACAGCGAGGTTTTGGTGAGTTTACCGAGGTCCTAGCCTGTAATTCAATTCCCTATTCCCCGCTATGATCCGGTTAGACGCTGCATCTCACTGCAAGAACACCGTTGGAGTTTCAGTGTTCTCACCCTTTCAAACCCATTTGGCTGGTATCATAGCCATTCTCCTCCAGATAAGCCTTGAAACGAACGTCCTCCTCTTCAAGCGTCTTGGGGTGCTGTATGATATGTTAGTACTAGCTAAATTGACCAAGGTATCTGAAGAAGCAACTTACATTCGGGATCAAGAACCAAACGCAAAGAACTCCAACTACTGATATTGCACTCCCGATAAGGAACACAACTTGCTGACCCTTGAGCTTGTCGTCAAAGCTGACAAGGCACTTACTCAGCGCCTGGGTACCAACCGCAGCACCAACCTTGCCGATCGCTGCAGCAAACCCGAGAAAGTGGCCTCTAAGCGGAGTTGGAAAGCTTTCACTGCTGACTAGAAAGTTACAATCTCCAGGGCCTACCGACAAAAATGTTTGGAAAAGTCCATAGAGCGTAACAAAGGCTGGGAAGGCTGAGGGGCTGTTGAGAGGATACATGGTCCCCCCAATGACAAAGCCGAACACGCAAACTATGGACCAGCCCAAGGCATAAGTTTGACGTCGGCCAATGCGGTCCATGAGAAGGGCTCCGATGAATGCACCTGGAAGTGCAAAGAAGTTAATCAGTGCTGACCAGCCAATGGACTCTTGCATGGTCTGGTTATTCGAGAAGCCCGCGACTAGAGTTGGTGCCAAGAGGTTGAATGGGTAGACCACGGCATCGTAGAGGAACCAGGCAGAGCAGCACCCAAGAAGGGGTTTCCAATAGTACTTGATGGCAAGCTTGTACGGTATCTTGTGCTGAATGGCATGCTTCTGGTACTGGGTAGAATCCATCAAACGAAGGCGGAAGAAGAAGATGCCAAGTGGGAGCTTATAGAGGTGAGCCAAGAGGTATCAAGTGATTTTGGGGACGACTTACAATGATGCCGATACCAAAACAGATGCGCCAGATGCCATCATGGGGAACACCTTTGTATGCTGCAATGACGATGAGCGATACAATACTCGAGGCCACGAAACCGGAGATGATGGCGGCGTTTGTCGCGACAGCAACAAGCATGCCACGTCGCTTTCGCATAGCCTCGGTACTATCGGCGCACTCTACGGCTTGGGAAGTGCACACAGTATACTCACCACCTAAACAGTCAGCATACTATCATGTAGTCGTCGATATTATGATGCTCAAAGAGACATACCTGCTCCGACACCAGCGACACCACGGCCAATGACCATCATCCAAAACATACCCTCCACAGTAACGCCGTGCGCTGCAGTGGCTATGACAATACCCTGTGACCTTAATCAGACTATGCTACATGTTGAAGACAGATATGCATACCAGAACCAAGAACAGAGTTGTCAGGTAGATTCCAACACGTCGACCGAACCGGTCAATGCAGAGTCCAAAGAGGAGCATGCCGAAGATGTCACCAATGAGGATGGAGTTGGACAACCTGGTCTTGACTTCGGCCGTCATCTGCTTGGGGTATCTACACTTGATCAATAACTCGAGGTATCAGATGAAGGACAATATTATAACGTACAGCTTGGTCAGAACTGTGTTCATGTATCCGATGATCTGGATGTTGTAGCCATCAGAGAAGAGAGCAACTCCCTGAACCAAGACGTCGAGTTGACCAGGTGTACGCTGGACAGCTCCATCTGCCTCGGTCTCAGCAGAGATGCTTTCATCTGAGGATACTACCGCAGTCTTGTCTGCAGGCATCTCGTTCTTGTTGCTGATATCTGACATGGCTGGACCTCAAACCTGCAGCTCAGGTAAAACTGTCGCCAGTGTTTATTGATTACGGGATTCATAAAGAAGGCAGTATCTAGGTGGTCTTATATAAAGTTCTTACTGATTTTAATACAACGTAGTTCCTGGATGCTTGGGAGTTCGTCGGCGGTATTAAAGTCCCCACTGAATACTCTAGACCATATCCTGTCAAAGGATTCCTAGTATTATACGAATGGATAAAATCATACCCAGAGTTCTCCGAAGTCACCACGAGTATTGTATCTTTCCACGACTTGGACATTGTCTCCAAGCACGTGGCTTCGGCCAACCCAAACAACCGGGTCTTAGGTGCCGGCAATAATGGAGACTCAAGCCGTTAGTGGTGCCGTGTAGATATCTTGGCCCGGCAGTTGGGTTCCGGATAAAGTGGATCGTTGATCGCACGTGGGCTAGGTAAGCTTATCGAGAAGGCAAGACTTAGGTTAACTTTGATTAAATTCGGTTTTGATGTAACGAAGGATTTCGGGGTCCACTTTACTATAAGGTAGGATTATTGTTCTGAATCAGGAATCTGGACGTCTTGGTGGATAACGAAAAAATAAAGGATGGAGTCGCATGCTTTCACTGTGACAAGACATTCATGTTTAACGAATATCTTCCCCCACAGAGAGGGGGGCAGTGAGAAGACCATTACCCATGAAATCATGAAAAAGGCATCGTTTGTGATAAACGTACTTGACGCTGTAATTGCAGCTGCGTCGCTGACATTGCGCTATACGTCTATTCTGTTTGTCCGGTTTGTAAGTTCGTTTATCGCAATAACCAATGACAGCCTGTTGACATAGATCAGCACCCGATAGGAAAGCGATATCTAGATCGCATCTACGGGAGTTTCGCCATATTCCTGCTTGCATTCTGCGCAGAGGTAGCTCTGCTCAAATACAGCAATGTTCGGCCGAGGAGACGCCCAGCCTCCGCCCCAGTGCTGGCTGTCGTTGATAGACGCAGACCTTTATTCACGGCTAGCGGCTTCCTCGTCAATGTTACATGCATTGTTGCTGTTCTTGACTTTCTTTTCAGAGGCCATCTTCTGCACCAAAGTGCCGAACTGTCCTTCTCTCGAGTTGGCTTTGTGGATCAATCGACGGCTCGGATTGTATTGAGGGCTCCTATCTCTGATTTTGTTCAGATCACAATCACGTCGGTCTCTGACGACCAAGGCGAGACCCCGATACCCAAATCGGTCTTGTTAGATGCACACTCGGATTATGTCGGGACAGTCCTGATAGACGGTCTCAAGCCTAACACTTCTTACACATACTCAACCAATGCAAGTCATACTGGGTCGTTTCGGACTTTGTCACAACCTGGTAGTGGCTTGAAGCGCTGGAGTCTAGTTTCTTCAAGCTGCATCAAGCCGTTCTACCCATACAACCCTTTGGACCATGGTCTCCGAATCAAGGGACTTGAACAATTGGGTGAATACCTTTCCGAGAGCCCAGTGGATATAGTACTGTTTCTGGGCGACTTTATCTACATCGATCTCCCCATCCCGCTC